GGGGGGGGGGGGGGGGGGGCGGGGGGGGTCCCCCCGGGAACCGCCCGCGGGGGGTTGCCAGGCCCCCGGCGGAGGAGCGGAGGGTGCGCGCAGCCTCGTCCACACAAGGCCTGGGGGAGCAGCGCCGCCCGCCCCAAAGGCCTCTGCCTGCCTGCGCGCCCGCAACTCTCGATAGATTGCGGGAGCTGATGCGCCAAGCTCTCCCGGCGATGATCACTTTGGGCTTACCCTGTCGGAGGACCTAGTCTTCCACCAGCCATGGTTAAGGAAACTACGGCTTGGGGTGATGCGCACATTTGTGAGGGAATCTGTGCCACAGAATTAGGCATTAGGAGCTTCCAAGCATTCAATAAGATCGCCAAGGGGGGCTTTCTGGAGGCGAAAACTGGCCTGTCGTTCCCAGGGGCAGGCAAGGCTACAGCTTTATCCGTTGGCTAGAATGAGAAGGAAGCCCTCCTCCGCCCGCCCCTTCCCCCACGGGGCAGTGGGGAAATTGCCTTTCTCTGCAGTGGGATATTTAGGGCTTGAGAAGGTCACCACAGATGGCTGGACAGACAGTGGCTCAAACCTTTGGAGCTTTGTGGCCTGGACCAAGAGAAGTAAGGGCAGACATGACCAGGCGCATAAACCAGGCATGGGGTGGAAAACGTGGACAGAGAGAAGGCTTTCTTTCTCACACACAAGCTCCGAGTCCTTGCTGAAGCAGGAGGTGGGAAAATTTAGGACTGGGGAAAGGAAGGACTTCTGTCAGTACACAGGGAGCCGAACTGGGATCTTGGTGCCAGTTTAGCTAGGCTTAGCTTCAGAGACAGGCCTTTCCCATCCACATCTCCCTATGTTCAGAGCATAAGTGGATGATCTGGGGACTGGAGGGAGGGGAAGCCAAGGCCAAGCACGCATCAGTCACCTGGAGCCTGGGCTCCAGCATCTCACCTCTCTGGGAAGCAGCCTGGCCCAGCTGGTACAGAGGAGATCAGCTGCTAAGGGCCCTTGCAGGAGAGCAACCGGGCTTGGGGTATGACACCCACAGGAGGCCTCCCTCAGCGCAAGGAGTTCCTTCTGGGGCTGAAGCAGAAAGGGGAGGAAAATAGGAAAGGAAATAGGCCCAGGGACAGAGGGCTAGTCTTGGGGGGCACCCTAAACCACGGGGTGGTTCTGCTGACATGGTAGGTGGTGTGGAGATGCTGCAGTAGTGGCAGCTTCCAAACTTCCCAGAGAATCATGACTCAGGGATTGTGCAGTGAAAGACCAAAAAAAAAAAAAAAAGCTGTAAAGGTGCCAGAAATCCAGGCAGCAGCTTGTGGGGTGTGTGTGTGTGTGGGGAGGGGCAGCTCTGACTGCATGGGAGGGAGGGGAATAGTTTTCCATGCTGGTGTGGCAGGTGACCGCTGCAGAGAGCCAGGGGCACTAGGCCAGGAGCCCGTTGAGGGCCTGGCTCCTGGTGCTACTCAGCTTCAAGCAGAAGCTGGTCAGGACTCTCCAGGAGGAAGAGAGGCCTCCACCCTCTCCACGCAAGGGGGTGTTTGCTTGGTGTCGAGAGCCGCCCAGACAGACCCAAAGGTCCCCTGAGCTGCAGCAGCTCAGTCTTTGGCCTTGCCCCGTTCCCTCCGAGGCTCCTCTGCTCTGCTCTGCTCTGCTGCTCATGCCCCTCCAGGGAAGGAAGGCAGAGGGAAGTTTAGCCCCAAGGCCTGACAGCCACCCACCGGCAAAGCTTTCGGCGAGCCCTGCCAAGCTTAGCTGCGGCAGGCAACCTCTCCGACCCGACCCGGCGCCGGCGGGTTCTTGCGGAGGGATCCTGGCGGTTTCCCTGAGGCCAAAAGCAGGGATGGAGCCGGAACGGGGCCCTGGCAGGGGAAGTGGCATGTGGCGTAGCTCTGGCCGCCAAGCCCTCTCCTCGGAAGGTGATCCTCTCTCTCAGGCCCGTTCCCGGCGTCGCCGGTGTGCGGCTGCGGCCGGCATGCCCTCCTTGTACCCTCCCGCTCTCGCCGATTGATCAGCGGGCGCAAAAATAGAAGGGCCCGGGAGCGCGCCCAGCTGGCGCGAAGCAAAGCGCTGGTCTGGCATTCTTCGCTTCGCGGGGGGCGGAAAGCAGGACATTCCGGAAGAACCGCTCGTCCTTGGGTTTCAAGCTGCTGCCCGGGCCGTGGAGTTGGGTTTCTCCGCCTGCGCGGAGGTGTCTCTCCAGAGGACATCGAGGGCAGGAATCTGTGGAGGAGGACAGGCGCTTTCCCCGCACCCCAAGAACCTCTGCGGTTGTCCTCTGTGCCCTGGGTCACCCAGCTCCCCCTGCTGGCCTCCCCCCACTCAGCCTGAACGGTCTGCTGCTTCAGGCTCTCCTCCGCTGGCTGCTCCGCACCCTCGGCATCACGGCCCGCCGCCCTCCAGCCTGAAGCCTCCAAGGGCCTCTTTCCGTTGAGCCGAACGCTGAGCGCGGGGTCGGTTTCAGGGACAGACAGCCCGGCTACCTCAGGGGACGCTGCCCGTTTCTGCAGTCCTTTCTCTTCCGCGCCAGGCAAGAAAGCGAGGCTCCGGGTCCTTCAGGCTAGGAGAAGGCTCCCGTTGCTGGGCTATTCCGAGGGCAGGATGAGAGTCGGGGCAGGGGACTTTTACTGTCCTTTCTCTATTTCGAAGTTTCTTTCGGCCAGAAAGGATCCGGCGCTCGCGCACTCAGACGCCCTGCTCCAGAATCCCCTGCAAGGGAGGCTGAGATGCACGGCGAGGCCGCTCTCTCCCGCCGTCCCGGAGGAGATGCTTGCAGACTCCTGAAGGACACCCGCCCCTCTAACTCCGGGAAACTCCTGAGAAAACTTGGCCAAAGTCAGCGCTTCCTCTCCTCCAGCAGAAGGAGTCCGGAGCCGCAGTGGCTCTCCCCGTGCTGGGATCTACCGCACCTGGGCTGCAAACCAGATGGCAGCAAATGCCGCCGGAAACTCGTCCGAAGAGTTGCGGCGGCGATCTGGGACCCTGGAAACGCTCCAGTAGGAAGGTGGACGCCCGCCAGAGGTGGAAGAAGCGCTGCAGGAAAGCGGCGTCTCTCGCGCGATCCACCCCTGGCCTGGCCGGGGAGGGAGCCAAAAGTCCCCGTCCAGGAGCCCCGCTGTTTCCGTTTGCTGTCGGCCGGCCGAGCGGGTTTGTAGCTCCAGCAAGGACCTCAAGACAGCCCGCGGGCACGAGGGAGAGGCTCGGCCCTGTCTCCTTCCTTCCCTCCCTTCTGTTCGTAGACCCCCAGCCCTGGCGGGATGGAGGGACAGAGTCAGGCGCCCTCACAGCCTCCAGTGGCGTTTTCTGGGTGGGCCGGAGACCAGCAGATCTTACTCTGAGCCGCAAGAGATGCCCTGCTGGGGGCAGCCTGGGGCGCGGCAGCATCCGAGTGAGAGAGGAGAGGAGAAGAAGAAGCGGGGACCAGCAGCAGCTCCGGTCCTCTTTTGCCTGCCCTGGAGAGCGTCCTGGGAGGTCCACTAACCACCCAGCTAAAGCGGGGTCTGCGGCATGTTTGTGCTGCTCCCAGGGACTCTGCTCCAGCCTTTTCCTACCGCCCCGATGTCAAGATTTTTCTGCCAAGTCCGCCAGGTTGGCAGGCCTGACCCATCGGGGCTGCGGACATTTGAGGGCCACAGCTGAGACCAGGCACCCAGCACTCTGAGCCCCTCCTTCACCTCCAGGCAGGACAGTAGGTCTGATCAGCCAAAGGGGCGGTGGATCCCCTGGCCTGGCTGGGGGCTGAAAGAGAAAGAAGGCTTCGCAGCCACGCCAGTCACCCGGGCCGAGGAAGGGAGCCAAGATTGAGTGAGGCCGTGGGGGCCTCGCTTAATCCCTTGCCTTGCTTTTCAGTGCCTCTTGTGAAGGGAATCAGCCCCTTTCTCGAGGGAGGGAGGAAGATGGCCAGGTATGCCAGACAGCTTCTCTCAGACCCAGCAGCCAGCAAACGCCCGCTGGAGGAGCAGGCTGCCGCCGGTCTCCCCAGGACCGCTTGCTGCAGGACCGTGCGGTTGCTGTCCCATTCAGCAGCCTGGCAGTTTCGACGTTCATCCAGGCCATGTTCATCCAGGCCATTCTCCTTCTTGGCGCTCAAGATGGTCCCCCTTTCAAGAGTTGTGTAAGTACTGAACCCCAAACTGCTTAAACTGCTATAAAGCTGCAAGTGGGCAGGAATCTTTTAGACCCTCCAGCTATGGGAGGGGGTTCTTGTCAGTCTCCCTTAATTGGAAAGATTGTCACCCCACAGCCTTCCCAATCGGCCCCCCATCCACAGGTCTTGACTGAAGAATTCTGGACCAAAAGCCTCTTCCAATGTCCTGATCGCCCCAGGGGTCCCCCTTCTCTGCAAGACACAGGTGGCCCTCTGCTCCTGGGCCCCCTTCTCTGGGGTGCATAAAAGAAAGATTTGCTGGTTTTGAATCTGACTGGCCTAGTGGGCAGCAGGAAAGGGTGGTTTGGGAAAGGGAAAAGCAACTTGGCCAGCTGAGAGGCATGGAGCTCTTGCCTATTCTTTTTCCTCAACTGAGGGGAAGGCAACGAAAATTCAAGAGTCCCCCTTCCACAAACCAGGACTAAATAGGAAAGGCCTAAGGGCTCCTCCCTGGTCTGGATGGAAGAGGTCTGTGCCTCAGTGGGGTGGGGGAGCAGAGAGGACTTACACCAGGAGTCCAGCCACCCAGGGAAAGAAGCAGAAGTCTGCCTGTTTTGAGAGGCAAGCTCTGCTTTATTTCACATGACTCTTTGACTTCCTGAGCAGACCCAGGACAAGAAACATTTACGCCCAAGGTAGCACAGTACTCAAAAACAGTCCGTGCAAATGGAGGCCAACGAAATTGTTTTCTGTAGCTACACAAAGAGTGATAAAAAATTTCCAGGCTGAGACTGATGAATCTGAACTGCAGATTTCGCAAAATAAGAACAGAAAGGTTGCATAACCCAGCCCAGCTGAGGGCAGGTATTGGGAACATG